AAAATGATCAAAAAGGAAAAGAATTCAAGGAAGATACAACAGTATAACAAACCACAGCTGACAGAGCACAATTATCTTTCACCCTAATATGAACAATAATATAAAGTTAGAACATTTCGTGTACACATGTGGCCACTTCTCTCCTAGCAGTATTGTCAGTACACTGAGAGAACCTGGTCTGACTCCAGCTGTATGGCTCGGTCGTAGCAGGCGGTGGCATCTCGGAGCAGGCCGATGCTCTCATGCTCCAGTATCTGTTCCCGTAGCGACGGCTCCTCCCTCCTAAGAGCGTTGGCCCCCCTCACTCCATCAGGCTCATGCATCGCAGCGTAAAGCGTCTACAACAGCCATGAATAAAAACTGTCTGCAACTACAACTTGTCAAACTTTATATCATCAGCTAAATATCTATCACAGACATTAATGTTAAATTAACTATCAAAATGTATCAGAAAGAATGTATAAAGGTGACATTTTCAGTTCTCTACAGCCTTAAACAGGGTTTCATATAGCACTGGAAAGTGTTCGCATACACTTGCACTCTAGCCTTTATGTTGCATAATAAACTGACAGACTTGTCTGACCTGCAGGAAGGTAAGGTGATCCTGGATGTCCTCTTTGTTTTCTAAGATGTAAGCTTCAAAGTGCATGAGGGCACGAGTGTACGCCTTGGAACGCAGAGAGGCCTTGGCCAGAACGTCCTGTGGAATACCTTTTAGAAAGGCCGCCACACGCTGATACTCCCCACTCTCTGGAATTACACATTTCAGACTTATACTGAAGCATTATTAAATCATGCAGGTTAGTGAACAACTACGATACATGCACTCACAAATGGTTTGATGAGGTGTAAATATTTCCTGTTTAATCACAGACTCCATGTTGAACTTGTCCAGCCTGTTGTCACTATTTGTGCCAACACAGGGTTGATTTTACATATAGCCAGCTGACAAAAGACATGTGCTAAACTGTTAACCATTAACACCACTGAATGTATATAAAAGCTGGACAAACCCACCGTGACATCACCCATTCTCTGAAGTTTGGTTTTGAAGCTCAGGTTTGGCCGTCACCATATTGGTAGCGCTTAACTCCACCTACTACGTCTAATCTAAAAATGGGCAAAGAGGTGGAGCGTGAGTGGAGCTCGTTAGACAGCGAGCAGCCAGCTACCTGTGGCGGACCCTCCTACCTGTCACACTCTTAATTATGTGTAACTTTTAGTCTCAATACAATTTAAACAGGTGAGTTGTATAAAAATTCACCCCCGATAGAGCTGTCAGGGAGGAAAAAGAGACCAAAACAGCTTTTTGTACCAGGCTGTAAACATTATTTCTGCTATAAATTTGGGCATTTTAACATGGGAGTCTATGGGGATTGACTCCCTCAAGTGGCCATTTGAAGAACTGCAGGATTTAAAACTTCAGCATTGGCTTAATTTCTCAGCCTCAGTTGCTGCTTTACTAACACGTGATACATAAGCAGATAAGAGTATTTTCGTCAAATTCACTCTAAAATTCAGATTACAAGGCCACTGATTTTGCAAATATAAATCTATATTTGAGAAACTGGGGTAAAACATTTCAAATTATTGTTCTGAGCTTCAACACTGAAGTGAAACCTAAAGGTCTACACTTTGGAGTGCAGGGTGAATGTCTCTTACCGCTTTGTCTGGGTTTGGAGTAAAGGATGTGGCGGCTCCACTGTGTGAGATGAGACAACATGCTGAACACTGTCTGGGTGCTGAGCTGCGACAGGCTCGAGGCCGTCTCCTGTACACGACCCCCTGCTCGCCCGTCACCCTCTGTTAGCACAGCCAGCATCTCCTCCGTCACCTGCAACAAGGACTGTTATCGCAACTTCTTCTTAACCTTTTCTTGCACAGGTGTGAGTGCACAGTGTTCTCACCTCCTGTTGCTCTGCAGGCGTGCAGCCCAGCAGCATGTACAGCAGGATATGAGGGAGCAGGTAGATTGTGACCTTGTAGTCGTGCTTGATGATGAAACTACAGCAGGTGAAGACCTTGCTGGCCAGCTCATGTCTCACCTGCAACACACAAAGCTAGCTTTTAAAATGACTAGTTTAATGTTAATGCTGCTGAATGCATGGCTGTTTGGTGCAGCTAAATTCAACTCAACCCAGCTAACCTTGCTGATGAGGTATCCAGCCCAGGTGGCTGACCAATCAGAGAACTTGCTGCCTCTGCTGCTTAGGTACACTGGTTTCTTCAGTTTAGACCAGTTCACCTCTTTCTGACTGCTCTTATACCTGAAGATAGACAGGGAGGTGAGGCAGAGAGAGAGTAAGAAAGGAGCCAGTAAAGGAGTAAAGGGCAATTAATTAATTGTAAATAAAGTAGGATAAAGAGTTTTGATTTGATTGATTTATTTATTCTTTCAAGCATGTAAAGACAGTTGATATGTCAACACACATAATTTTACACATATCCAACAAATGCTAATCCAATATCAATTTCCTTATACCTAGTACATGCTTGAATGGAGTAGGAAGAAGTCAGACTTATCCAGTCCTACCCCATGACATCATCTTACCATCATTGGTTTGCAAGCAGTATCTCTACATAGATAATTCTCTTCTACACCACACAAGTAATATACTAAAAAATTATAACAGAGTGTTAACATTCATACACCACACCCACAATG